GTCTGGTGGTGGGAGACGCCCCGCACAAACGGCGCCTGGCGTGGAGGGGAGCAGAGCCCCGGGGGGGTACCAGGGGGATGCTGGCTGCCTTCTGGGAATTTCAAATGAGACCAGGGCCGCTTTGCTGACCTTGACCTCGGGTCGCCTACTGCCTTTCCCAACCTCCAGACGGGTCAGTTTGGAACTGAAGCGTCAAGAAAATACGCTTCATTCAAGGAATAACTGAAGAGACCGCTGAAGGCTGAACTGTATACATTCGGTAGCCTTGTTGACAAAAGATGAACAGTAACTGAAAGTTGAATTCTGTGTTTCCCCAACATACTGAACTATCAAACAATTAAAGAGAGAAAACGAGCCTAGATGAAGTTGCCCAGCACACCTCCAATGCAAGATCTGTATATGAAACATTTGGAACTTTAAAGAAAAACCCACCAGATTCATTAAATTCTTAATGAAGCTTTTTTTAAACTCCTTGGCAACATCGTATTTTGCAACTTACTGAATCTCACTGTGTCGGTGATTTCGTCTCCCCTCAGAGCGGCCCCCTGAGCTGGATGTCACTAACAGGAGTCCGTAACAACTCTACCTGGCAGACGGGGAACCGAAGCCCCGAGCAGCACTTGGACTTGGCCAAAGCCTCGCTAGGGCCCCATGTCTAGTCCGGGTCTCGGGTCTCCCGTCCAAAAGAACTGAAGTAAGTTAGCGTCACTGTACAACGTGTAGTTGCGTCTTCTCAACACCCAGAAAGCTTTCGAGGTGGCCCGGATAACAGACACACACATGACAAGGACTTTAACATGGAGAGGAGAGAAAGAAAAACCATTTGGTAGGTGATGTGGACAGGCGAGGGGGCGGTTAACACAAAGACTTTGACTTGTAGTCTGAGAAAAGTTTACCTTTGAACTTGTCACTTTCAGGCCAGTAACGCTTGAAGGGAAAGGGGGGTTCTGGAGCATCATACACACCGGTGCGTTCAGCGGGCGAACCCGGCTCTCCGCCCGGGCCCCTGGGGAGACACAGGACTCTCTTCCTTCGGTGAGGAACGAGAGGGCGGCTTTGAATGTGGCCTTCGAACTCCACCTTCCCCCTCCGCAGGCACGCCCCTCCAGGAAAGACCCCTCGTCACCCGCCCCGTCCACGTAAACGCCAGGCCTGCCGCCGACCAGTTCCCCTCTCCGCGCAGGACAAGCGTTCGCCGGTTCAGCTGCGGCGGAAACGCTAGAGCAGCGCAGTCTCAGAAAGCCGCGAAGAAAACCCAGCTGTTTCTGAGGACCCTCCTGGAGTGAGGTCCCTAACGAAACCAGCCGTGTGCAGCACGAAACACAGCGCTTCTTTTTTTAAACCCAGAGAAGACAAAAGTCCGGCGGGGTCAAGTGAAAATTGTGACTCGGAGGCACCGCCGCCCGACCAGACCGCCGCCCGCGGTCTCCCACGCCCGCCGTCACCCCACAGGAGCAGCGGGCACACGTGTGCCGTCGGAGAGAGCCCGTCTAGCCAAGCAGGTCCACTGGGAGGGGATGAGCATCTCAAAGGGTTAATTACCATATTCCTTGGGATTGGAGCTTTCTTATAAGTCATTTAACATACGATGCACTTTTTTTGCAAGTAATCATTTTAAACTGTGTTTTAAACCATGATGCAAAACCACATACACCTCCTCGAGGCACCCCCAGAGTTCCATGTATTTCAGACTCCCCACATTGAAACCTCGGCTACAACCTGGGACACACAGAAGCTACAGTGGGCAGACGTCACGCAGCACGGAAAAGGCCGATGAAAGGCTGCCGCAGGGCTGCACCCAATGATTTCATCACGGCGCCCGCCCAGCCAATCACGTATATACGTATAGCACAGGTGTTGGAAATGAGCCATAATTTTGAATAGCACGCAAGACAACAGAACGAAGTTGAGCAAGCTCCCACCACAGACTCCAGAGCCTGGCCGTCACTCTGAGACAAGGTGCACGCCCTCCGGGAAGAGGAAAAGCAACTTCACTTCAGAATGGACACATGCAAAGATCCCCATTGTTCGGATCGCCGTCAGTCACTACGAGAACTCGCCTCCACCAGATCGGGCGGAAGGAATGGAAGGGCCAGGGCTGAGCGATTCTTGCCTGGTTTCAGACCCTCAGCAGTGAGGAACCTGAAAGCCAGGAGCAGTGGCCGTGCAGGGACAGAGCAACTTAATTCCAGAGCCAGAATCAGACCCAATAAATTCCAATCAAGTGCTCTACACTCTGCAACAAACACTGGGCAGTAAGAACAAATAATCTAAACACCCTCTGGAGAGTTGAGGAACTACAGATTCTAAACCACGCAAACTATGGGGTTGGCCAAAAAGTCTGTTCTGCACGATGGCTCTAGTGCTTTTAGTTGCCTTTAACTGCATTTGAAACAATTTATTAGACTGTATGGTGACAGCTGTCAGCTCGCATTTAAAAACCATCGTCAAAACTGGTGAATTGTTGTGTAGCAATTTTAATAGTGAAAATGAAAGAAAATATGCAACATAGCATGTATTTAAAAACCATCATCAAAGCTGGTGAATTGTTGTGTAGCAATCTTAATATTGAAAATGAAAGAAAATATGCAACATTTTTGGCATATTATGCTTTATTATTTCAATAATAATTTTATTATTAAAAATGCAACTGATGCAAAACAAAAAAGAGATTTGTGTAGTGTATGGAGAAGGTGTTGCGACTGATCGTACACATGAACAGTGGTGTGCGAACTTCCGCGCTGGAGATTTCCCACTGGACGCTGCTCCACGGTTGGGCAGACCAGTCAAAGTTGACAGCGATCAAATCGACACATTAATCGAGAACAATCAACATTATACCACTCAGGAGAGAGCTGACACACTCAAAATATCCAAATCAGTAAAGTTATTGGTGAAAATGAAAAATGTGTCTTTTAGTTTATGGAAAAAGCCATAAGGACTTTTTGGCCAAACAAATGCTTGAGTGCGTGGTACAGGAAGAGGGTCTCCCACTCGGCATTGCCTCCTCCCGCCTCTGGGCACACAGTGTGCCCACCTGCGCCACAGCACCTATTGAGCGGTGCCTCCGACTACGCATCTGTCCTCAGAGACCACAGCTCTCGGAGGGCAAGACACAGGACCCCAGGGAAGGCTTCAGCGGGAAGGTGTCACCCCAGCCGAGACCTTAAGGACGGGTGAGGGCGCTGCAGTGGCTGGAGCTGGGGGTGCAGGGATGGGACGGTGAAAGGCCCCGTGGGGGTCAGGAAGGGCCTGCCGGCTCCTTGGCCCAGACCAGACACTGCACGAAGTAGCGAATGTAGTGAAAGGCCTGGCCTTGACTCTGCATCCCTCGGGGCAGAGAACCACCCCTGGGCCACGGTAGGTGTTTTTGCAAGTTTGCCGAAAAGGCCGTGAACATTCCCCTCTACGGGAGTGGCTGAGGGACCCAGAGCCCGCAGGGCCCCGCCAGGCCTTGGCACCAGGCTGAAACCCGAGGTTCCCTTCCCTCCGGCAGCCTCCCCTCGAGGTCCCTTCGGAAACCTGACCTCCGGCTGTAACGGCCCGGGCCTCCTTCCGCGGCTGCGGATCCTCCTCCTTCAGACGCATTTCCAGCCCGCCAAATTCTTGGGAGCGTTTCCTCCACTCTCCAGGCGCTGAGGGCTGCAAAGTTAAATCTGGTTCACCAGATTTTTTTTTCCTCCCAATCCTAACGGCAGAATCAAGAAGCGCGGGGCAGAGGGGCTCGGCTCGCTCCAATCAGCGCCGGCTCCCGCTGGCCCAGCCTCGCGCCGCCGCCGGGCAGGAAACGCGGCGGCCTGGGGAGCCACCCCGGGCGTGCGCGGTGAAGGCCGGCGCTCCCCGGGGAAGGGGACCCGGCAGAGAGGGACGGGGCGGGTGGGGGTGGGGGGCAGCCCCGGGGGGCGCGGCCCGGCGGCGCCCCTCCCGCTCCTGCGCATCCGGCAAATCCGACAGTCACCACAGGGCGGGCGGGCCGTCCTACCCAGGCCAACTGCGCCCCCAACGCCGCCCGCCGCGCCCGACCTGCACCCCGACGGGCACCAGGGCCCTCACAACGACCCCTCAGCACACCAAGACCCCCAGCGTGCGCACGCGCACACACACGTTGCTGGGGTGGGGGCAGGCCCGGGTTCGCACTCCCACGAGTCACGTGGGGAGGGGACGGGGCAAAGCCCCCCAGCTCACAGGACAGCTGAGACACCACGCGCACGGGCCCACGCAAAGCCACGCTCGGTGACACACTCAGTGGCCAGTGGGGGGAACAAGAAAGAGCCCCCCCCCCAGGGTGGCCAGAGCCCCCGCGACCGAGGGTCCACGCAGTCACCCTCCACGAGACACACCGAACCGGTCACGCCCTGGCGGGGGGGAGGACGGCGGGGACGGCGGGGACAAACCCCCTGTTCGCAGGATGTCCAGGGCTCCCGGCCGAGCCGCCTCCGCGACACACAGGCCACGGGGAGGCAGCCACGCCTCGGGGCGAGCGGGGCTGAGACGCGGCGCCGTGCTGCCGGGGGGCCGGGACCCCGTGCGCGGGGCCGGGCCCGGCCGCACGCGGCAGCCGCGAAGCCCCCCCTCGGTGCCACTCCGCGGCCTAAAGAGTCCCGGGGCGCCCGGGCTCGCGACAGCCGGGCCAGTCCCCGTCCCTGTGCCCGCCCCGCGGTCCCGCAGGGCGGCGGCCGCCACCTCGAGCAGCGACCCCACGGCGCCCCCCTCAGCTGTGCCGCACCAGGCCCGGGAACCCCCGCGCCGTCCGGGATGCCTGCCGCCCGGGCCCCCGCCCGGCCCCGGGACCCCCGCCCGGCTCCGTGACGCCTGCGCCCCACAAGGGACCTAGGTCCCCCACCCTCCGGCCTGGGACCCTTGCCCGGCTGGGCCCCCCTTCCGGCCCCGGGACACCGACCCGGCCGCGCACCTCGCCCGCTCCGTGACCCCTGCCCGCCCGGGAATCCCCGTCCGGTGCCGGGACGCCGGCCTCGTCCGTCCTGCCGCCCGCGCCTCACCTCAGGCCGCCGCCTCGGCAGCGCCCGCTCCTGCCGCCAGCGCCGGGGTCGAGTGGAGCGGAACCGAGCACCCTGCAGAGCCGCTGCCGCCGCAACAAAGGAGCCCCAGGGCGGGGTCGCCTCCACCGTCGCTTCAGCCTGTCGCCGTCTAAGCCTCGGGCTCCGGTTCAGCTGAGAGGCAGCCGGCGCGAGGCTAGGGTCGGACTCCAGCACCGCGCAAGCGCACTCGCCCCACCCGCGCCCCTCCGCCCCGCCCCCCGCGGCTCTGGGCGCTCAGGGCCCGCCCCCCGACCAATGGAGAGGGAGAAATGCGAAGTGGGCGTGGTCCAGAGAAACAAAGGGAGGTGGGGCGGGGCTGCGGGGGCGGGGCTGCTGGTCCCGAGGGGAGGCCGGACAGAGGAGCGGCCCTATCTGCTGCCCCATCCGGGGAGGCCGAGCCTAAAGCCCACTCGGAAACTGCTCGGAAGGCCGTGCTCATCCCAAACCCAGAATTCAAGCTTGTAGGCGTGATCTGCCGTACATAAAGGGACACCGGGGCCCAAGGAGCGAGATCATGTGCCGCCCCAAGCCACATCGTCCCATTCACGCCTTTCTCTTGTATTCATTCAACGAACATCTGGACAGCCACAGGATGTGCGTGGGGAGTGGAGGCAAACACGCCCTCCTGAAAGGGGCTCGCTCCTTCAAGCATGACCAGTGGTCTCTCAGGGTCACTTTAGGGCTGGGAGAAGGAGCCAGCTGTCACCCTTTCCTGTCAGACCCATTGTGGTTCTGCTCTTCCTGCCCGAAATGCCCTCCTTTCCTCGCCTGTCACCGCACAGACCCGAACCCCATCTATCATCGTGACCCTCTGGCCTCGTCGTCATACCGGCTCTCTCGGCGTCACGGGGCCCAGCGCTGGGTTTCCCTACTTCAGCGAGCTCCTCGGGAGTCTCTAGGACCCCGGCTTCTCTGCCTGACCTCACAGCCTGCTGGGGTGTTAGGGTGACCCATGGCTCCAGCCAGATGTCCTCCTATTCACCGGGACGCTCTCGCCGGAAACCCCACGCCCTCCCAGGCTTTAAGCACCACACAGTGCTGACGGCCAGATCCGCACTCCCAAGCCGGACCCCTCCTGGAGCCCCAGCTGGACACCCAGGAGGCGTCCCAGTCCCCTCAGGCCCAAGCAAATGCTCTACCCAACGCCCCCAACCTGCTCCTCCACATTCCTCCCCTTCCACACAGCTGCACAGGGTCGACTCTGCAATCATCCCTGAGCACCGCCCCCCCCACCCGCTCACCAGCCCAGTGGGGCTCCCTCCGCATGGCCTGCTCCACGCTCCTCACAACGCCTGTCACAGCAGGGCTGCAGCTCTGCGTCTGATGGAACCCCCCCCCCGGGAAGTGTGACCCCTCTGAGGCGAGGCAGGGGGCTGCCTCTGATCTGTGGCTGCACACAGAACTGGGACAGGAACCCTGTGGGCACTCTAGGAACACGGGAAGGAAGGGGGGAAGGAAGGAAGGAAGGAAGGAAGGAAGGAAGGAAGGAAGGAAGGAAGGAAAGGGAAGGAGGGGGGAAGGAAGGAAAGGGAGGGAGAAAGGAAGGGAGGGAGGGGGAAAGGAAGAGAGGGAAGGGGGAAGAAGGAAGGAAGGAGGGAGGGAAGCGGGGAGGGAGGGAGGGAGGAAGGGTGTGTAAGGTCTTGACTGTGACTGGAGCAGAACCCCCACCCCACCCAGTCCCCTGGCACGTGCGCGCGCGCGCACACACACACACACACACACACACACACACTCACACACACCGAGAGCCTGGCTTCCCATCTGGTTTGCCAAACTCCGGCGTGAACGTAAGAGGCATGCTCCCCACTCCCCTGCCAGATCCCAGGGTGGTTTGGGGGGTACTCAGAGGTCAGGAGAACACATCTCAGCAGTGAAACCACCCCCACAAGCATGGCACTCCGGGCTTCAGCCCCTTACACGTGCCGCCTCTGCCTGGCACTCTTCTCGCTCGGGGTCTGGCCAGCTCCTCCTGGCCCTTCAAGTCTCACCTAAGCCCAGTCACTGCTCCAGGCCTCCCTGCACCCTGTGCAGCAATGTGGCAGACACATCCTAAGATGGCCCCCTTCTTGATGAGTCACACCCTTGCATGATCCCCCCGGAACAAGTGCTGGCAGAACCTGGGGCAGCCTCTAGCCAAGACAGTGTGGCAGAGGGGAGGGGATGTCCTTCCCACGGGGAGGCCACGTCACTAAGAATCCGTCACAACAGATGAGGCAGAGAGGGTCTGCTTACAGGCTTTGAAGAGGTCACCTGCCAGGCAGCGAGGAACATGCCGGGTGCAGGGTCTATGGGACCTAGGGACAGCCCCCGGCCCACAGCTGGCAGAAGGCTGAGCCCCAGCCATGCTGGCTCCTGGAACTGAGTTCTGGCATTGCCCTGAGCAAACATGGAAGCAGATCTGGCCCCAGTCAAGGCCCCAGGTCTGGGCGCAGGCTGCGGACACGTTAAGTGGGACTTGGGGTACCCTGAGCAGAGGATGCCGCTAAAATGTGCCAAACTCCAACTAACAGAAACTGAGTCAAGAAGAATGTGCAGCCCTGGCCAGGTGGCTCAGTGAGTTGGAGCATCGTCCTATGCAACAAGAGTTTGCAGGTTCAATTCCCGGTCAGAGCACATACCTACGTTGTGGGTTCTATCCCCAGCGGGTGCGGATAGGAGGCAACCAATGGAGTTGACCTCACACATTGACCTCTCTCTCTCCCTTCCTCTCTCTGTAAAAGCAATGAGGAAATGTCCTCAGGTGAGGATTAGAATAAGAAATGTGTGTGTTGTCCTCACCTGCTATGTCTGTGATGAAAAAATAGAAAATGAATACAACAGCCTAGACCCCTCCCCATCACACACATTTCTAGCACTCTGTTTTTTTTCTGGCATTCTTAGGGTTTAAAATCCCTTTCTGCCCTTGCTGGTGTGGCTCAGCTGGTTGAGTGTCGCCCTGCCAACCAAAAGTCATGGGTTCGAATCCCAGTCAGGGCACGTGCAAGGGGCAGCCAGTTGATGTTTCTCTCCCTCTCTCTTTCCCTCCCTCCCCCTCCCTCTAAAATGTATAAAATAAATTTTTTTTTAAATCTCTCTCTGTCCCCTAGCATGAGACCCCCAAGAGAAAAGAAATGGAGTTTGTCTTGCTCCTTACTGTCCTCCAAACGCCCCCACATGGTTCATTTCGGGGGGCCACTGCTTGGTGGTAGACCAGCCAGTCAGCTGGTTGGCTGGCCCTCTCCCCTCCCCAGCCCCCTTCCCCTGGGGGGAGACCCCTGCACTTTCTCCATTCCCAGCTTCCTGGATAGCCTGAGGCGGTCACGTGACATCCTGGCCAGTGTAAGGCAGTGGAAGTCAGCTGGAAGGTTCCTGGCAGGGCGCTGCCGGGAGCCGTTTGGCCCAGACCACAAGAGCCCCGTGTTTATTGTTCAGGAATTTTGCGAGCCAGTTGTTAAACACCATCAGTCACTACTTAACAATGAAGTTATATAAACGTACGATGAAAAGTTATATTAAAAACAAAGATAACACTCCAAATTACTTCCTAATTATTTTACGACAGCTGACAACGGTGCGTGCTTTGAAGAACTCCGCATCCCCTGTAACTGTAGGGTGGACGTGCTGGAAGATGGTGTGCAGCTGGCGTCTCTTGCCCTGCATGCAGCCAGCACCGCCATGTCGGGAGCTAGAAATCAGACGTCGTGGGAGAATTTATACCATAGCAATTGGCTCCGCTACAAATCAGGATTGTCCTCCTTCCGCCCATCTTCCAGGAGGCCAGCAATTGAAGACCGACCAGCACACCACTGGTTTCTGGGGAACAGTTTGCTCTCTGGGGAAGGGAGTAGACTCAGCTAATACTGCCTTTTCTCAGCACCAGGAATTCCCGCCTGGAACACTCACGTGATGTCTGGAGCTGCAGCAGCCACCTCACAGCCATGCACAAAGTCAGAATCGGAGAGATTCCAACTCCTGCACTCTTGAGCCACTGAATCAAGATTCTACCAATCACCTACCTCCAGAGTCTCCACTAGGTCGAAGAAACAAACCCTTTATTTGTTTAAGATGCCATTAGTCAATGTTTCTAATGTGGCTTACAGAACTCCTAACGAAGTATGTACACATTCACCAAATATCTGTGAATCAGTAAGCTCAGCCCGACATGACTCCCCCACCAGCGCTCATCCTATTTGGGCTGACCTCCACCCACTCACGAGAAACTGCCACCCGGCGAGCCCGGCCAGGTGCGCTGCCCCAGCTCCGACCGGAACTCGTTTCTCGTCATGAAACTGAAATTCGGGGGGCTCATGTAACCCCAGAAAACAAGCCCAACCCCCGCGGACCAGCACAGCCCGGCTGGGGCAGAGCGTTCACGCCCAGGGAGACCAACCAGGGTGCATTGTTCAAAGCGTGGGCCCGGTGCTCTCCGTGGAAATTCCTGCCCTCATCCAGTACTGTGAAGGGGAAGCTGGTGGCTCAGGGACCCCGAGACCTCTTCCCAGACACCTCCAGTAACATGTCTGTTGAGGAAACAAATAAATTATAAGCTGCTTATACTCCCCAGTAAGCTGCATTGGCACAGCACTTTTAACATAGACTTCCTAGACTCTGGGGCCCGGAGGGAGCGCGGCACCCACGACAGCAGGGAACCTGAGGGAGACCCGGGCCCCGAGTGGAATGTGACGCCACTCACGGATGCGACGGCAGCCCACAGGCCTGCCGCAGTTGCGCCCACCGCCCTGTGACAAACCACCCCCGACCCTGGCGGCTTAAAACGGCGTATCTTACAGCCGCCCTACCGCTGTCTCTGTTATCTCACTGCTCAACTGGGCGCTCCAGCTCTGGGTATCTCCCAGCTGCCGTCGAACTGTGGGCGGGAGGGGTGGCTCCTGGGAAGGCCTGCCTGGGACCATTGGGGCCCAGGCCCCCCCGTGTGGCCCCCTGTGGGAAGCCTACTCGGGGCACCTCACAGCAGAGCGAGGGAGTGGGAGCACCTGGGGGGGAGCCGCGGTTTTCTGTACCCCGATACTGGAAGCGACATCCCATCACTGTTCCTGCCTTCTGCCAGGGGCAAGTCAGCGCACATGCCCCCACTCCAGGGGAGGGGACCCCGGCAGGGTGGGGGGACCAGGAAGAGGGGACCCCGGGGGGCATCTCAGAGGCAGCCAACCACACCAGT